GCTCCTCCAGCCATTGTATGGAAATCGAAAGCAAGAGACCAACATGAAGCTCACACGTGTGTAAATGTGTGGTTGGAGCTTCTTTCGAGCTGACGAGGCTAATGCGGCGCCACGTGGCACAAAGTTGCAGGGTTGAGCTGAACACTGACTTTCAAATCATGCGGCTACACGACGGTCTCGGTCAATGGGCTATGACTTGACTCGTGAGCTGCAACCATCTGAACCTCTTCATGCCTCACATGTCTGTGCATAGGCTGGTCTTCAGCGCGTTACATCCAGCTCGTCTTGATGGAAACGTGCACACACAAGGCCATACCAATCACAGGGTCAGATAAGACGTCACACCTTCATGAACGGATGTAAACATAAATTTAAGAGAGGAATTTTTTCGAGATCGAGTGGAGAGGTAGGGAAGGCATGGCGGGTGACCTTGGGCGTGTTCTTGAAATTGGCTTTGGGAATGGAGGAGTAATGTGAGCTTGGGAGAGCGAGGGCGTGGTAGAGGGTCCTACCTTGACGTGCTTCAGCTTGCCCTACTTTGTGCAATTTGTGCAGAGAGTAGTCGAGATCGTGGTCCATTTACACCAATCAGGGCAAGGGGGCGGCTCTTGATGCTCGTGCGAAAATTTCGGTCGCTTTTCGGCTTCGGACATTCCCTGCCCTGCTGATCGAGGCGAAAGCGAGCAGTGAGGCCCGAGTATTCACTCCCGCACCAACTTTCGTTTGCTTTTGTCGAACCATGCGTCGCCATCATGGATGTTCAGAGTACTCACCTGTGCGAGTATTCCGTGGAACGAGTGTTGGAAGACCACACAGGAAAAGCGGAGACCGAGATGTAAGCGTTGTGTTCGACAGAAGCAGCTTCTCAAGTTTACCAAGCGAGCAACTCACCTGCAGGATCGCGGTGCGCGAGGGGACGAAAGCAAAGAGGCGAAGTTGCGTCAGTTTATACAGCTTCTTTGGTGCGCACAGACGCAAGCTGCGGTGTGTCTATGCGAACTACGGCTGACCTCGTCAATCAACGCCCTGGGTGATGACATTTCGAGCAATCAACGGATCTTTTAGGAGCGGGGTTTGTCTCATGGCAAGCCTTTGGACATTCTAGGAGTGTCTGACGACCCTTGGACGTCTGACGTCGCTCAAGCTGCGGCACGTCGTGCTCTGAACATTGGGCGTGGCACTTTCTAAGCGCCGCCGCCTCAGAAAGACGGGCCCATGAATCTCATTGCAAGCGCTCGTGACTCACCTGCAGAAATGTCCCTAGCATAGAGCATGGGAGTAGCGGCAGCCTGGCCGGCCTGACCAATCAAAGCGCAAGCAGCGACCGTGATCAAGACGATGAGGGGAGTCTTGATGACCTGCATGGTGAGCCGAAGAGCTGAGCAGCGGGGATGGTCGGGTCGAGCGTGTTTCAACGAGCTTCGACGTGAGTTTTGCAAGAATGGAATGCGAGTGCTGAAGCCTGCTTCGAGCGTTTTGCTGTTGCTTTCTAGTCTTACGTGGGCGTGGGCGTGGGCTTGTCTGACGGGAAAGGTTGGAACCGAAGACGACAAAATGCTCGCCTTATAAAGACAAGACGCTGGCCGAAATGCTCATGTCGTAGACGTACCACGTACGCGGGGCCTCTGCATGTGTTACTGAGCTACTCATTCAGCTGCCGAGCTGGACTACACTCTGTCACGCTCGCGCCACCCAGTCTCGCCGTTGAGCTGTTGCACTGCTGCAATATTGTTGGCTGTTAATAGGTGGTGCAAGGCGCCAATATCGTCCGCGGACCGCCCAAGACCAGGAGTAGAAGGTGATCAAAGCAGACGAATGCGGCGCGAGAGTAGACGGATAGGCCGCGGAGTAGACGGGATATATACGTATCTCGCGGAAGGTAAGTCTACACTCACTCTTGGCCAGCCAATCAGCGAAGGGGGAAACAAACCCGGGACTGCGCAAACCGCATTACACCTCGTCCATTCGGCGTGCCGAACGGGAAGATGGGACTCTGGGGGTACTCGTTATTGAACTGAGTGGAGCGCAAAGACGTAAAGCCCTCTTACCCGTTTAGGGCCACGAGCAAGTCTCCCGCTGCGCGGTGCCTAGGCTGAAGCGCGGCGCAGACATGTTTCGAGGAACGGAGCTTGTCCTGAAGGAGCCGCGCACGATGTTATCACCGCGCGACGTCGATCGCGCCCGACTTTGGGGCAAGTCAAAGCACCGCAGACTCGTTTGTTCTGGCTACGAGGATCGCATTGCGGCGCTCACTGCGCACCTCGAGTGGCTATCTCTCAATTAGAGCTCCGAAAGTGCGTGGGCGCAATCCTGCCCAGCGCGCATTTCGGCCTCGGTACCTTTGCTGGGCGCAAGAGGGAGAGGTATACGCACATTCATCCTACTTTGAGCCGTTGGTGCTCCAACACAGTCGTGAGATCAAAATTGTGGATACTTCGTGCGGTGCTTGTCCATGCACCGCTGATCCGCTGCTGGACCTCGGAGCGACGAGTGACCAGCAATGGTGTAGGGCAGACAGCTAGCCGCGCGCCTGCCCAGCGCGCAGAAGCCTATTGCGCTCGCGTTCTGACTGCGGTACCTCGGACACCCGCGCTCCACTAGATGTGAGCTCGATGCAGTACAAACACCGCCGTGTTTGCGCTACGCGCTTTCCCGGGGCAGCCATCCCGCCTCTTCGTAGCGGGCAGACACCGAACCCCGATTGAGGTAGCGGTACGGCGGGGCGTTCTTGTGATGGTTGTGAATGAGTGGTGATCACCAGCTAGGCAAGCGGTAGAGACCAGTGCACAAGGCCGCCGACGTAATGGCGAGGCAAGATTGTGTACTCATCGTAGTCACGAGTGTGGATGTAGAGCAGGTGGGCACCGTGATCAAACGCAGACGCGACCTTCCATCATCAACATGCTGCACAGCCACGCGTATGCGCACAAATGTTCGGGTGATGTCGTGGCTCAATCGTCATCCGACGCTGCAACGCGTGGCTCTCTTTGTTGCGAGACATATGCCACAACTTCCCCAATCCACGATGGCCTACGTGACCTCGCTTCCTCTCCATGGCCATATGATGCAGACCCATCGCCAAAACCAAATATCGCTGGATCCTGATGCTCCCAGGCGACAGAGACGGCGAGCGGCAGATCAAAGAATGCTTCTTGGGCCATGCGGCGGAGCGAAGGTGCCGTGTGTTGGGCGCAACGCACTGACGTGGGCGCATGCTTGCGTCGAGGGAGGCCGCGGGGGGCGGCGAGATCAAATCTCTGTTACAGATACAAGGCGAATGTATATGCCAAAGAGAGTTGGAAATTGGCATGGACAAAAGATGCGTCGGCAACGAAGGCAAGGTTTGTCTTCTCAGGTCAGATCTGCGAGGCCGTCTTGGACTGGTCTCTTCATCCGTTGCCAGCCCTCTTGCTCCGAAAGGATCATGCCCGTCGGGAAGCCACTGCGGGCAAAGAAATTCTCGAACAGGCCCCGCAATAATTTGCCCGAGCCTGCGTGTACTTCTGGGTCGATGAGGCTGTCTATGATGTCTGAAAAGGCTACGTTAATCTGTCGAACGAAACGCTGGCGCGCAGCCTCGCTGTAGTTGAGATCGATGAGTCTCGCGGCTACCCGGACTGGAAATGACAGCAGCAAGCCAGCGGATAAAAAAGCGTCTTTGCGATGTTGGCTCAGCGAACAGAGTCGCAAAATTTCGTTGCTGATGTGCCTTTCCCAGGTGAAGACCACCTAGACCCACCGGACGACTGGGTCCTGGGCACGAACGTGAGACGCGCCGCTTTGGGAGGCCGGCAGGCACGATTCGGGGCGTTCTGCCTGTTCTTCCTTAAAGATGGTCCGCCAAACCTCGCCTCCCAGGGTCGCGGCTTTCCAGGTCCTCAAGGCTGAGCACTCAAGGGCCGGAGGAAGATTGACGTAGAAGGGCGTGGTGAAACCAAGTTCAGCCCTGCCCGCAATCCACCGTGCTGCAGCAAGATCCAGATCGGTCTCTGTTCCGCCGTCCACAAGCTCCTGCACCAGGCTCGGAAAGCGCGGGATCGTCAGCATCAGCTGGGTGTAGTTGGGTATCGCCGCAAGGACGCGCGACGCTCCTCGCTGGTCTTCGGTAGACCCAGAGCGCTCAGCTTTGGCGTCGCAGGGCAGAGTGATGCGCGTATGCGTCGCGCGACGGAGAAGACCATCACCAAGCCTAGTCTCGGTCCCGAAATGGCTGTAGTAGTCACAGCGAAGGAGTGTGTTAACCGCGTCGCTGGTCTTGGGGGCTGCGAGGTTCACCCGATCTCTGAAGGTCCGATAGGTGACCTTGTCGACATGGCGAAAGGCTTTTTTTATCGTCTGGGGCAAGACGGTCATATACCATCATCTTCAAGTC